AGAGAGTAGATGAGTAAAGCTCAGAGTGAATAAAATCAACATTTGTCTCTAATAGGCATCTTAATGGTTGTTGATTGACTGACTGATGCACTCTGGAACAAGGACATTTATCATGTACTGGCTGCCCCTTTTTCTGGATAGGAGCAATATAAGGCAGATAATTGGTGGGACAGAGTCTGGGTCCTTTTCCAGGGATGTTCTGGAAGGATGCCACAGAACACATTAGTATTGTACTTCCTGAGGAAAAGACAGCCTAAGCTTCAGATAATTACTTTCCAATGTCTAGGATATCAGTGAAAAAGATTCAATCCATCATCCCTAAGCTCCAGCTCTTCTGCTTCTTAGCAGAGGGCACTGGAGTTTCAGTGCCACGTGGTCCTTCAGTGCCATGAGGTCACTGTTCCCATCCTGCATCTGATCAATCTCTAGCTACCACAGGGGTCTCTTTTCTTGTAGACACTTGGGAAATTCCCACAGTGGAATTTCCCACATCCCTGGATCAGAAAATCCTGCGTGCAGTCAGAATATATCAAAGTGATTTTCTCAGGTGGTGAAAATGTAATTGGGGGACTTGGACAATGTGCTTTCCCCAAAGGGACACCTGGACGTCCCACCTACCGCCGAAGGACTGGTTCTCCGAGTGAGCCTGTTTACTGGTGAGTCACAGCATTTGAGTCTATGAAGGATGCACTCCTGCTCTGTGATGGTGCCGAGAGGCACACTCAGCTTAGGACACGGTGGCCTCCAGGATGCGAACATGCTTGCCTGTCAGAGATGGTGTGCAAAGCCAGAAGGCCTGGGAAAATGGTATCTACCTTAGAACCCACTAAGCTTCCAGAAAGTCTGAGCCAAGATGACTCCAGGACCTTGTGGAAGAGGATGAGCCTCAGAACCACTTTGGATTCCTCTTCCTGGAGGCGAGAGGAGGTGTGTGGGAGAAGGATGACGTAGTCAGACTCACAGGGGGACCTCAGAACCAGTTAGGAATGAGCCTTGCTTACCTGGGAGGTGGGAGAGGCCTAGTACAGTGGAGAGGTGACTTGCATAGACTGCTGTGTCTCGCACACTTGGAGACAGGAATAGGACAGGCAACGGGAAGGTCAGATGCCCCAGATCCGGAATATTAGAACCCAGTCCCTGAGTATTGGTTAGCACTGCCTGGGAGATACTTCCTAGGGGTGTGGAGTAGAAGCTCAGGTAACCCGGGCAGTGCCAACCTGTCTCGTCACTTCTATAGTTCAGTAAGGACTGAGCACGGGAGACCTGTCACCTGACTCTTAAGATCTCTGAGGAATCGCCCTTAGCTTCTTACAAAGATCCCTTTAAAAACATTATCTTACTATGTTATGAAAAAGAAGCCATTTATTCAGGAGGTCCATTTATACAAGTTTCAGAATAGCCAAACAAATCTTTGGTGATAAAAATTAGAACCATGGCCAGGCATTTAGCTCAGTGGCTTAAGCGCCTGCCTGGCAAGCACGAGGTCATGCGTTCGATCCCCCATTCAAAAAACAAAACAAAACACCAAAACAAAAACAAAAACAAAAACAAAAAACCATGGTGGACTCTGGTAGAAACATTCTGCCATGATGGGACTATTATATATCCTGATTCACATGTGGTTTACCCTGGCATATGTACTTATCTAGCTTTACTGGACTGTACATTTAAAATGTCTATGTTTATTGGATATAAATATGTCCAACGAATAAAATGCCCTTGTCTCTGTGACCTTAGGGGAAGAGATTTCACTGCATTTCTTCACTGCAGAGAGGAAGATGGCGGGGCCCTGGGGTGGGGGAGTTGAATGGAAAGAAACCACTTGGCTTGGGACTTCGTCTAATTTTATTGTGCATTGCCATTGTGACCTTCGGCAAACTGATCTCTGGTTTTTTTTTTTTTTTTTTTTTTGTCTTTTTCCTTTTTATCAGTACCAGGGATCGAACTCACGACTGCCTGCTTGCAAGGCAGGTGCTTATGCCGCTGAGCTAAATCCCCATCCTCGATCTCTGGTTTCTTAAATCCTTAAGATGGGCAGGGGTCGTGATAACTGAGTGAGTGGAGACAGAAGCACCTGTGGAGAGCCGGTTCCGGGCTCCTCCTCCGCAGGGAGTCTTCCCTGCTTCTCCCGCCCTGACAGGTGCTTCCTCATTTCCATATAACAGCCGTGGCACCTGTGCAGTTCAAATGGGGATCTTAACAATGCTGCAAATCTCTGGCAGCTACAGAATTTTGTGGGTTTTTATTAAATAGTCAAACTACAAGTTAAGACCCTGCAAATGCCAAGAGCTTACTATATGGTAGTATTTTTATCATTCTAGTCCCATCCTTTCCTGGTCTCTCAAAGCTTGGTCTCTACTCATCTTGGGCTTTCTGATCTTGAGGGCGAGGCCTGGGTCTCACTTAGCTCTGTAATGTCCCTAGTTTCAGGAATGCTCCATAGATGCTTGGCTAGTAAGTGCGGGACTCATGAATAAACCAGTGCATACATCACTGACTAAATACATGAAAGAATGCACAAGCCGGTGAATGTACGGTGAGTCCGTCAGTGCATCAGTGGGGAGAGGCGAATGGTGGCTGAGTGAGAAGTGAGGGCGAAGGTATGAATGGAGGGGCCCGCTGCTTCCCTTCCAAAGGGCCGTGTGACGGTAGGCATCCACACAGGCCGGCTCCAGAGTCCTGGGAAGGCTCAGAGGGGCAGCCTGGCAGACAGCTGCTGTCTCCGTGTATTCATCCATCTTTCCTTCCTTCCTTCCTTCCTTCTGCCTTCTCCCATCCACCAACCTTGCAGGTAGGTAGTGATGCTGAGGAACCGTGGAGCAGGATATGCCTCCAGGGGACGGGCAGCCAGGCCCACGGCTGCACCTTCTCATCCAATCCCCTTGCCACAGCCCGTGGGGACCCGCTGCCTCCCCTGACATCATGTCCCCTAGCAGACGTCTCTCCTGTCTTGTCAACCACAGAGCGGCTGTCAGCGGTTTGCATTATTTATCTGCTCTGTAACATTTACTGGGATTTAGTGTTTAATAACTGTCACTCCAATATATCTTTTCTTAATCCCTTCAGATCTGCTGCTGTAGCAATTTTAAATATTTATCAACGCTGTTCTTGTGCTCACTGGTTGGGTTGCAATTTTCTTGTAATTAAAGATTTACAAGACACTGCTTGAGATTTGCGAGGGATTGACGGAGATCAAAGGGGGAGGGGAGGAGATCTGGTGTTGGAATCTGAGGCTTGGGGTCCCCAGCTGGAGTTGGAGCCCCTGGGGAAGGGCAAGCTCATCCACAGCTCCCAGGCCCCCTCCTGCCCCTCATGTCCACAGTCAGGTGCTCAGCGTGGCTGGACCTTGCGGGGCGGTGCGGTTCACCTCCCTGTACCTTCCTCTGGGTCCCTGCTCTGTGGCAAGTTTGGGTAGGTGCCAGGGACAGGGAACAGGACAGAAGAGGTCCCTGCTAACACAGAGCTTGCATTCGAGTGGCAGAGACAGACAGTAAACATGTCAGTGCATTTTAGAAACACCATTTTAGACTTCGAAAAGTGTTATACAGCGACTAAACAGCTGGTGACACAGGAGAGGACACTGTGTTGGAGTTTTTTATTGCAAGGAATTAGAAATGTGTTCTGGGAAACAAGCAAAAATAGATGTCTGGAAGGATAAGGAGAGTTCATAGGATCAAAGGAGCGAAGAAAAGAAAGAATTTAAAACATGCAGAGGAGCCAGGGTTACTTTGGGGATCTTTATGACAGCACACAGGGACACTGAGGACCTGGGTCTCCCGACAGTGCTCTGTGTCTGTGATGCTCCTGTCCGGATCTGGTCCAGGGGCAGAGGGCCCTCACCATGGCCAGGGAGACGGGATGACCACAGGGAGCTCTGACTGAGTGTCTGCAAGAGTGGTCCACTGGGGAGGTGAGATCAGGACGATGGGACCAACAGCAGGGCCTTTCTGAGCAGAAACCAAACAGTGAGAGGAGCCAGACACCCGAAGAGCTGAGGGGGGAGGGAGCTCAGGGGGGTTTTAAGAGGCAGGGGGTCTGGGGTCTGCATTTCCTCACTGACTGGGCTTGAGAAATGGGTCCATGTCTGAGGACTGAGTCATGGGGCCAGAATTTTGTTTATTCCAAATGGAACAGAAAGGAAGACGCAGGTCCATAAGGTAACCAGTGGGATGGAACTCTGGTCAAGTGGTGCTTCTGGAGCCTGTGGTGGGCCAGGTGGTGTGGTAGGTGGACTGAAGATGGCCAACATATCTTCCTTAGAGCATGGTGGTCTGTGGGTGGGATATAAGCACATCGTTGCATCAGGGCAGTGACAGAAAGCTGGAGAATTTGAGACCTTCTTTTCTAGGATAAGTGTTTAGTGCTATACACTTTATAAAGAATGACAGTGGCATTCCATAAATTTTGATATGTTATATTTTTATATCCTTTCCTAAGTTTCCTTTTCATTGGCCAATGGGTTATTAAATGAATGTTATTTAGTTACTTAGTTGCCAAATATTTAGAGACTTTTAAGTTACCTTCATTATTATTACTATTATTATTTTGATGCAGGGTCTTGCTAAGTAGTGCAGGCTGGCCTTGAACTCACTAAGTAGCCCAGGATAGCCTTGAATTTACATCAATCCTCCTGCTTCAGCCTCCCAAGTGCTAGGATTACAGGCCTGTGCCTTCACACCCAGTTTATGTTCTGTTATTGATTCTAATTTATTTTCATTGTGGTCATAGACTCTACTTAGTGTGCTTTAAAGCCACTTAAATTTATTGGCTTTTATTGTGTGTTCTGGAAGATAATCTCTCTTTCTCTCTCTCTATTTATTTTTTGGTACTGGGAATCAAACTCAGGACCTTGCACTTGCCAGTCAGGCGCTGCACCACTGAGCCATATCCCTGGCCCAAGATGACAAAAGTGTCATGTATATTTCATATATATTTGAAAGGAATGTCCACTCTGATGTTGCCAGCTATTGTCTGAAAATGTTGACTAGGTCAAATTCATTGATAGTGTTGCTCAAATCTTTTATCTGTTGGTTAATTTTCTGACTGTTTCACTAAGTATGGAGAGAAGAGTGTTAACATTTCTGATTATAATTGCATACAGTCCATCTCCCTTTGTGGCCCTGTTCATTTTTGCTTTATGGCTTTTGAAGCTGTGTTATAAAGTACATGCATTTTTTGGAGACAGAGCTTGCAATGCCTTCCAGGGTTATGATTTATCTTCCCGAAACAGGCATCCCTAGTGGATCTTCACTAGGATCTTCACTAACTGATCGTTTAGAAGGACGGAGGCCTGCAGACCTTTTGGTTTGTTTGTTTGCAAGCTTGTTTCTTTGTTCCAGTAACAGATTCCTGGTGAACGTGGCCAGAGCAGAGTGATCTTGCTGCCATGGATGACAAAAGCGTCCAGTAATGCTTGAGAAGTGCTTTGTGAGTGTTCCCTGAGTAGAAGCCACTTAGCTTTTGCTTATTATTTATAAATATAGTTTTAGTTAAAGTTTTTACGTGCTTACCACTATGAGGTATGTTACTTTCTCTCATTAACTGCATATAATAAACCTAAAACCTTGAGGGGATAAGTATTATCATGAACACGTACCAATAAAGAAACTGGGTATTAAGTAACTTTCTCAAACTCACATAATTCACAAATGACAGAGGCAGAAATTGAAGCCAGACATATCTGGCTCCAAAGACTAAGCTCTCAAACACTGTGCCTACCTGTGTGAATATCTATTAATACAGAGCTCTGGCACCTCCCAAGATCCCTGTGCTATTGTTAGCTTGCGTTTCTGTCAGAACATTTCCCATGTTGAAGGGAACCCTTCCTCTCTGTGACTCACATGCCTTGTTCAGTTTCTCCTCCAAGACTTCTGCGAACTCCTCTCCTCCTCTTCCACAGTCATCTTGCGCCTGCCGAAGATGACTCTCCTAGGTGATGGTGCTGCAGGGTCCATATGGACCCCAGTGCTGGGTGTCCTTGCAGAAGGAGCTCCAGTTCTTGGTGTCCTTGGAGAGTGGCTGGCAGGCTGAGCAGGCTGAGGTCCGGCCAGGGCAGTTTCAGGATCATTACTTTCTGTCTAGACACCATACTGTTATTAATGCCATTTTGCCCCACATTGGCCTTGTTTTTTGGCAAAAGAAATTCTCTTGCCATTCAGACCTGCTGGGCTCAGTCATGGTGGAACTTAGCTCAGAGCAAGAAGTGGCATGAGAAGGGAAGGCAGTGAGCTCCCCAGGTCTGGCGTGGGGCAGGTCCAATTCTGGTTCCTGAGTCCAAGTCCCAGGCAGGAAGGAGAAGGGGGAGGTTGTGCAGGTTGGAGGGGCCTGTGGTTTGCAGGGTGGATGCTGGACCACCATCTTTTCTGGGGTGGAGCCTGTGTACATGTGTGTGCACGTGTGTGTAAGCACGATGGGGCAGGGTCAGCTAGAGCAGCTGGGAGCCCCATCTCTCTGGGTCTTTCTGGTCTCACTTCAGGACAAACAGAATTTCACTTCACTGCAAAAACATCTTTCAGGCAGGGAGGAGCTCTGCACATGAGCTGGTCCCTGGCCTCCTCCGCTGCCCTCCAATCTCAGGGCAGAGGGATGAGGAAGGAGCCAGGGGGACCGCAGGGCAGGCTGAGGGGCGTCACAGAGCTCCAGGCCTGGGTGTCACTGGGGCAGGCCCTGTTGCCCTCTGCCTGAGTGCTGGTGGCTGCTGTTCCCAATAATCGCTCTTGCAGAGCCCCCACTAATTGCTCAGATTTACTCCTAATTAGGACTTAACGGGGCTCCTGATGGGCAGCAGAGAAATGAGGACAGAGAAAGTCCTAGAGAACCTCTTTGACCTTCCCACGTCTCCAGATGGGACAAGGAGGGGGAGCCCAAAAGTAGGGGGTGCAAGAGGCTCCTCCCTCTGCCCTACGTGCTGTTCAGCCCCCACGGTGGCCTTTGAGGGAGGCAACCAGACGGCGGTGATCCTCAGAGAGCTCTTTGCATGTCCTTGGCCCCTGCCAGGTCACTCTTCCCGGGGGGAGGTGGCAGGAAGACTTGCTCTCTCTCATCACATGCGTTATTGCCAGGCATCACACTCAGCAGCCTTGTGTCTTGCTTGTCACTGGAAAAACCTTCCCTGCTTTCTTGACAGCAAAGCCACACTACATGTGGCAGAAGGAAGAGGGCTACATTAGTGCCTCTGCTGTGTGACCATGGGTGAATCATCTAACTTCTCTGGGCTCTGTGTTTCCCATCTGCCAGCTGGGGAGACGAATGTGGAACATGGGCTGGTCGCTTAAACTCTTGCTCGCTGGCTGCCATTTCTGAGTTGTCAGTCATGACTGTGGTGGGAGGCAAGGTCCCTGGAGAAGGTACGAGAGCCTGGTGCCAGGGCAAAGGGACTGAGAGCCTACATTTGTGGCCCTTGGGTTCCTCTAAGGGATGTAAGTGGGGCGCCTGGATGCTGGGTGCCCTAAATCTAACCTTTGGTGGCACTGGGCTGGAACTGGAACCCATCCAGCCGGGACAGGCTGTGCAGGCAGAGGACTGGGTGTCCCAGTGCTTTAGGCTGGGTCCGCTGGCTTCCGAGAACACAGAAACACTAATTACTCTGAACTCCTGCCTACTCCTCCCACCGTCTCTCCATGGAACAGAGAAGACCTGCTGGGTTCCAAGCCTGGCCCTGTCCCAGGGACACTGGACGGCAAGGTCTCACCTCTACACTGAAGGACAGCTCTGCATTCCGGAATCTCTGCTTCACTACCCCAGGCTGGGTCTCTGCCCTGGCCATGGCTGGTGCTGGGGTCACCGCCTGGACCAGGGAGCCACTCATAGCATCTGGCCCCGGGCGGGCATCCGAGGCTCCCATCCTGCATTGCCCTTGGTTGACTGCACGGAGAAGGCCAGATTTTGTGTCAGAGGAAGAAAGGGCACGGCTAGGAACCTCCTGGACCTGGTACTGGGTAAGTCACATGCGCTTCCTAGACCTTGGTCTCTTTGCCTAGAAAATGAGGTTAAAACTCTCCAGCTAAGCAGGGGAGCTTTAGGACATCGACACTATTCTGTACCATTGTGGCGGGTGCACATCATACATTTGTCCAGAGACACAGCATGTGTGGCACCAAGGCTGAACCATACTGTAAACTGTGGCCTCTGGGTGACAGTGATGTCCCCCTGTAGGTTTATCAGCTGTGAAAAATGGGTTACCTGTTTAGGAGTCTTGGTGATGGGGAAGGCTGTGTGTGTGTCTGTGTGTGTGTGTGTGTGTGTGTGTGTGTGTGTGTGTGTGTGTCTGGGGGCAGGCGATATATGGGAACATTTTACCTCCTGCTCAGCTTCACTGTGAGCTCCAAACATAGTCTGCTAACCAACAAAAAAAGACCAAATACAGCACAGTAATGATGTTATGGTTTAGATCCAAAGTGTCGTCCAAAACCTCATGTGTTCAGAGGCCGGGTTTTGCATTAGATCACAGAGGTGCTGTGCTCATGGGTGACTAAGCCCCTGGAGAATGTGCGGCAGGATGTGCTGTCAGGAGGCAGGGCCTAGCTGCAGGCGGGTCACTGGGACCCTGACCTGGAAGGACACATTCTCACCCTTTTGTCTCTGCCTCCTGGCTGCCATGGGGTGAGTGGCTTTCCTCTGCCCTGCCCTTTTACTATGATGTTTCTGCCTTGGAATCGGCTGACCATGGACTAAATCCCCCACACCGTGAGCCAAAATAAACCTCTTCTTTAAGTTGCCTGTGCTGGGTAAAATGTTTCAGCAACAGGACAGTGACTAATACAATGACATTATGAATGTGACATTGAATAATAAGCATTAAAAATCTTGAATTGGTATATGGCTTTAGGTTAAGGAAATAGTAACTCTCTTCCTCCTGGCTTTGTTGAGAAAAATGAGATAATGTGTACAGAACCCTGTCTCACAGGGAACATGTAATCAATGGCAGTCCTGTAGTTGTAAAGTCCCCACCCTGTCCTCCTGACCTGTCTGGGATGGCACAGGAGCTGAAGGATGAGTAGAGATGGAAATCTGTGTGGCTTTGCGTGCTGCTTTTAGTTAGTGTGACAATGACAATAGCACCCACACGAAGTTCCCTAGTATACTGTCTTCCCAGGATGTGTAAGGCTGGGGACTCTGGGGCAAGGCCTGGCCTGGGTGGACCCTCCCGCCTTCCTTCCCCCACTCATTGCTCTTCCCCTAGGAACGTTCCCAGCAAGGGATTTGCTGTTTATCAGCTGCAGAAAGGATTTGGGATGCTGGAGGGGAGGGTTTTGTCTTGCTGAGTCCCCACACTCCTTGGGGAGCAGCCAATTAGAGACCAGTGCAGAGAAATTCATCACTGTCACACCAGGCTCTTGGCCTCCCTGGCTCCCAGGGAGGTGGCTGTGGATCGCACAGTCTGGCAGTGAGGGGAGGAGGTGGACAGGGATGGGGCTGGTGAGGGCCACAGGGCACCAATTGTGGTTGTTGGTCAGAAGCCAGGAAGTCAGGGCGGAGCTTGAAGAAGCCCCAGATGAGGGTGGTGGTGGTTGTCATAAATCCAAAACAGCCTGCAGTGCAGAGCTTTTAAGCAGCTTTCCAAAGGAGCTGGAGGGCTTGTGCTTTGCTTAGGAGGCCTCTGCCCACTTTGTGCCTTATTTTCCCATAATTTTGGGTAGGCGCTAAAGCCAAAAGGCAAGAATAAAAGCCCAATTTTTAGCTTGCTGTGATTGCACGTTAGTGTGCTCCCTTGTTCTGTGGGTGGGAGGGAGGCGCCAGACCCTTAGCCTCATGTATTCCCTCATTCATTCCTTGAAGGACTCCAGACCAGGCAGAGTACCAGGCACAAGGGAGAAACATGGCCAAGACTGTTATCTTCATGGGGCCCTGTATTTTGGGAAGTCCCCAGTGTGGTAAACCATGATACGCCTTGTAGGGGGGCGGAGGAGAGGTCTTGACTCTGGAGGAGGTCAGGGAAGGCTTCCTGGAGGAGGGAGCATCTAGGCTGACACCTGAATGTTGAGTAGAAGCTGGTAGAGGAGGATGAGAGCCCGGTGTGAGCAAGAATGTTCCAAGCTGTGTGTGTGTGTGTGTGTGTGTGTGTGTGTGTGTGTGTGTGTGTGTATGGAAGGGGATTGTGTACAAAGGCCTGGCAGAGGCAGTAAGTGTGGTATGTTTGATGAGGCTGACGTCAGAGAAAAGGGAGACCCTGGAGATGCAGTGGGACAGGGCGTGAAGGGCCGTGGCTGCACCCCTAGGAGTTGGGACTTGAGTGTGAGGGCAGAAGGGAGCCTCTGATGCGTCTTACCTCAGATGCACCCGGAGGTGTGACGTGAGAGAACCAGATCGGAGCTCCCCGAGGCTTCTAGCTGCCCAGTTCTCATTGAAAGTTTGGGCAGCGGCCCGGGCAGAGTGGCGGTGACCTTCTACGCCTGCCCCCAGCCCACCCTTCCCTCCTACTCCCAGTACTGCGCAGAGCGGCCTCTCTTGGCTTTGGTGCTGGTCTCGGGAAGCCCCTGAGTTTCACCATTCCTCTCAGGCCCGCTAGAGGGCGACACTCCTGGGGACTGAATGCCGCCTGGGGTCCTCCAGGAACAGAAGCAGGAGCCGAAAGGACGGCAGGGAAGGGCCGGACCTCAGTCTGTCCAGCCCCCCCACCCCCACCCCCCGGCCTGGCTCTCACGCCTCTCAATGGTGCTTTCAACAGCAGCGCAGGCCAGAGCCCTCAGAGCCCCTGGGCGCTGCTATGAGAAATAGTAAGCTGTTCTTCAGGAAGCTGCCGCAGAATGATCACAAGCACTAGTGACTCTGCTTCTGGGCACACACCCTGAATTGAAAGCAGAGTCTTGAAAAAGGGTTTGCCCATGCAGGTGCACACACAGTGCTCACAGGAGTCAGGAGGAGGAAGCCATATGATGTCTGCTGACAGATGATGGGTAAACCAAATGTGGTTTATCCACAGAGTGGAACATTATTCGGCTTTGAAAAGGGACTTCTGAGATGTGTGACCACATGGATAACCTGAGGACATGGTGCTATGCAAGATGAGCCAGTCACAAAAGGACAAGCGCTATAGGACATCATGCACATGACATGCACGAGCAGTCGAATTTAAAGAAGGTGAAAGGGCAGTTCCTCAGGGCTGGGGTGGGGGGAGGGAGTTGTTTAAGGGGTGCAGTGTTTCAGTTCTGCAAACTGAAAGGCATTCTTTCTTTTCAAGAAGCAAGAAAGGGTCAGCTGGACGAAGACTCCCCACACCTGAGCCACCTCTGGGAGGGGCCCGGCTCCCCCCCCCCCCGGCCTTGTCAGGGGACTGGTGGGGACACAGAGGTAAATGGACATTTACCTGACACCCACGTGGGAAGGGGTCGGCTCACCACTGCGGTGTTCCCTGACGGCACTTCTCCATACTCAGGCCGCCCTTCCTCTGCACGAATTTATAATATCTTCCTTCCCTCTTGCTATTAATCGTGATTTATGTGTCCTCCATGAAACTAGCGGGGAGGCCAAGAGGCGGAGACGCAATGCTGCCACGAATGCCACACCGTCTGGGGCGTCTCTGCCTCCTTCCTCCGCCTCTGCCTGGGGCTTGGGTGGGGTATGGGGGCAAAGCTTCAACCCCTGCCAGGGGGGCATCGCGTGGAGAAGAGAGTCTGCTCAGGCCGCCGGTCCCTGTGGCCCCTGTGTGACTTTGTCCCCGGCCACCCCCCTGGTGGAAACGGACCCCTAGGGCGCGCTAGGCACGTGCCTGTCGGAGCGGGTCCCCACGGCCTGGAGGGGGCGCCGCGGGCTGAGCGCTTTCTCAGTGGCGCCCTCGTCCGTCCCTCGCTTCAGGGGCACCAGCGGTGTCCTCTCAGCCTTCCTCTGCCACCTGTGCTCCCGAGGTCTTGACAAGAGCCCTATGACTGAACTCCTCAGTGCGCTTGGTGTGTTCCATGTCCTGGGGTGTCCTGCTTTTTTGGGAATCCCTTGTGGGTATCCACAGAGGAGACGGAAAGGACGGCAGGCAGTGGAGGGCTGCCAAGCTTCCTTGGAAACAGGCTCGGGCCATTCTCCTGGGCAAAGCCTCCGCCAGCCACGCTGGTCTTCACTGGGTCCCTCCTGGGCTCTCAGCCTGCTTTCTGCTTACTTTTGATCATTGCTGGTTTACATCATTGACACGATATGGAAATTATTTTATTGTGCAAGGCTAGCCAGACGATAAACTTTTTGTGGTGAAACACCATTTCTTTGTCTTTTTTCTTTTGGCTGAGTCAGAGTCTCACTATGTAGTTCAGGCTGGACTTGAATTCACTGTGCAGGCTGGCCTCAAATTTGTCAAAATCCTCCTGCCTCAGCCTCCCAAGCACTGAAATTATAGGTCTGTACCACCATGCCTGGTGGAACACTATTTCCTATTCGACTTTTACAGCAAGATCTGAAAGAGAGTCTTTATTTTTACAAAAATTCTGTAGCTGGCCAGGTGGGAAGGGTGGCCCACACCTGTAATCCCAGCTTCTCAGGAGGCTGAGGCAGAAGGATTGCACGTTTGAGGCCAGCCTGAGTAACTTAGTAAGACCCTGTATCAAAACAAACAACAACAAAAAAATAAAGGTGTGAAGGTGTTGCTCAGTGGTAGAGTGCACTAGGGTTAATTTCAAGTACTACAAAACAAAATTGTGGTGCTTCATCGATTTCCAATAGATATCTCTTGATTTTTCATGCCCAGATCATTTACTCTGCAGGTACATATTATGCCATGATGCTGTTGATTTTCTCTTCTTCATTGTAATTCATCTTCCCCAGATTCTTATGTTTTCAGTGGCTTTGGGGTGACTTAAACACTTGTGTAACATTGATTTTATCAACCTCATTAAAATCTGCATTTCTTGGGGCCAGTTATGCAATTTTACTTTGTGATTGGTTCACATGGGGGGTGTGTATGTGGTCATAACAACCTACAATTCCTGGAGACTGGTGCGGGCCTCTGGCACATGGGTTAGGTCGGAGAGATGCTGGGGTTCAGCTGAAAGCGTGTAGCAGTGAGGGGTGGAAGTGGATGGTGTGTTATATTTCTGTGTTGTGCTGGTCTGCAGCTCAGCCTGGGAGAAGCGGAGAGAAAGTGCTCCCAGCAGCAGCCCTGCACTGCCCTTCTGATCCCTCGGTGGTGGTTCTGAATGTGCTTCCTTTTATGTGAGACAAGGATCCACTATGCAGTTCAGGCTGGCCTTGAATTCACTTTGTAGCCCAAGCTGGCTTCAAACTCATGGTGATCCACCTGCCTCAGCCTCCTGAGTGCCGAGATTACAGGTGTGCGCCTCCATACCCAGCCTTTCCTGTTGTTTCCTCTCCCTGCTAGCTGGAGATGGGGAAGCCTGTGAGGAGGAGCCCCCAGGGTTTAGGGCTAACTAGTGGGTGTCACAGGGGAGTGGGGTTATTTGTCTAAGGAAACATTAACAAACAGAATTGCTAAGCTGGGTAGGCTGATGTGTGGGGTAGTGAGCCTTCTGTCACTAGACATATTAAAGCTGGGATGAGGTGACAGGGAGGTGGGAAGGAGAACTGTGGTGGTGGTGGGGGAGTGGGCCCAGCCTCTTCCAGATCTTAAGAGTTTATTATTCTACATTTTAAAAGTTATGCTACAAATTCCTGAGAACAGAGCTGGGTGTTTTACTCATCCCTGACCCCGAGCACCTTGGAGGTACAGGGAGGGCTTCTTCGGCTGATAAGGAGTGCGCAGAGGGGGTGCCTGACTGTGTGGTGAAGCTGTGGAATGGGTGGAGCTGTTCCTCACTTCTCCCTGGTCGCCAGCACGCTCTCTGGGTGCCAAAGCCAGGGTCAAACTTCCTTCCGTGCGAGCCTGAGTGGAAGACGGAGCACCTGGGAAAGAGGAGAGGAGGAAGAAGGGGTTTTAATTTATTGGGCCCTTATGTCACTCTTACCCTTGCCAGTGGATGAAAGTCTTCTGTGAGGCTTTAGGAAGTGGTGCTGCCTGTCTCTCATTCTGGAGCCTTTGCTCTCATTGGTCTGTGGTGCTGGGCACCAGGATGGCTTAAAGCTCCCCAGTGACTGCAATGCATGGGTGGGAGTCCCTGCTATGTGCCAGGTGCTGTGCAGAGTCCCTCGCTGAATCCTCAGAGGATGCTCACAAGGTGGTTTCCTGGCTCCCAGAGTGTGGACCTCGGACCAGCAGTACCCTGGGGAACCTGTGTTACAAACGCCAACTTCCAAGCTGCCCTCTGCACTGAGGGACGAGAACCTATGGGGCTTTGCTTGGTGTTTTAACCTCTCTCATGGTGCTTCTGAGCCAATCGCAGCACATGAAGGGAGGGGTTGTGAGCCCCAATTCATTGACGAGGTGGATGATTTAGTTATTAGCTCAAGGAAACATGCGGAACTAGGGTCACAGCACAGATTTGAATCCAGTGCCTTGCCTCTGCCGGACCTCAAAGTCCTCTGGTTGAAGCTGACTCATGCGTTGTTTGTGGGGCTGTCCCTGGGGTCCCTTGCTAGCCTTTGGTCGATGCTTTCTCTGCCTCTGCTTGGTAGCAAAGTTGAACTCCATCTGGAGTGCAGCTGCTCTTACCCTGGGAAGTAAAGGACAGATTACCCAGGAATCCTGCTAAAATGGCTTTATTAGGTTCTTAAATAGCTTCTGGCAGATGGCGTGTAGAATGGGGGATTGGAGCAGAGCTGCCTATGACATTTATAAAGTTGTGTGTTTGTACAAGCACACATTTGCACATGAGCACATGGCTTATGCACCTACATATGGGCTGGCAGGGATTGGTCAGAGAGTGGAGGAACTGAGGAAGGAGCAAAAAGCAAGAACAGAGTGAGTTGGATCTACCCAAGACTTAAGGGGAGAAAGGCTTTGAACTAGTTTTCCCTGGTGCTGGGGCAAATCCTTGGTCCTCCTAGGCACATGTTGGTGAGGCAGGTGTCAGTGATGGGCAGGGGGAGCTCTCACCTGGCCCCAGGGGCCGGGAATCCTTGATGCTGGTGTGGCAGAGTGTGGCAAGAAGCTGTAGGATTGGATGGGTTAAAAGCTGGAGCCTTTGGTTGAAGCCTAAGAGCTGAGGCAGCAGCCCTTGCTTTGTAACAAAGGTGCTGAGTCCTCTCTTCAGTTTCCATACTTGAAAGGAAGTGTCTGTATAAATCCGAATCCCACTTAGCTGCGGAGATAGTAGACATTCCTCCATCTAATTCTCCCTGACAGACCCTCAGAGTTGTGGGTGGCTGTTTCCCTTGGCAACTCCCGGCTGGTGTCTTCCATCCTGCAACTGTGAGTATAATTCTCAGCCCTTCTAATGCACTAGTGCTTCCTGAGTTTTAGACCCATTTTCAAATCCTATCAAATCCAAGGTGCCCTCTCCAGAAAATTTCACATATGCATACACACAGAGCAGCCAGCTACTCACAGGAGTCCGGTCTCTCCACCTTTGACCGCCTGGGAAGAACAGCCGTCCCTCTGGCTCTTCACCCACCCCTGCCCTGGACCTGGTTCTAGTCCCCTCTCTGCCACTGCTGTAAAAGGAATGGAGAGCCTGATGCTGGGGTAAGAAAGCAGAGGCCTGGCCCTGGTGTTCCTGGAGGCTGGCTTCTGCTAGGAAAGCCGGGATTTTACCAACAGTGTGGCCTTTGAGTTCTGGAGCAGCGCGGTGAGTATTCTTCAGCGGTGGGTCCTCTGCTTTGGTTGCTTTGTCTCCAGGCACCTGAGGACCACTCTGCTGCCTCTTGTTCTTGCCCACCATGTGACCAGCTCCTGTTATCCTCATCAGTGCAAGCAATACTGGCTCCTTGTGCTCTGCACTTCCTACTGGTGGCCTGATTTTTCTGCCTGCCGTCACACCCCTGAGAGGGACATGCCAACCTCTTTCCTTGTGCTTTGCCCACAAGGCAGGGTGCCAAGTGAATAGAGCATGGAAATTTGGAATTAGAAGACCTGGGTTCAAGTTCTAGCTCTACTCTTATTGATTGTGTGACTTTAGGCAAGTTATTTAAATTTTCCCAGACCTCTGTCTGTGTAGAAATTTCTAATCATCACATTGTTGCATCACCCTGTGCATGCAAAAGGCACCAGTGCGTCCTCCTTCAGGATGGCCTACAGCTTTGGTTTGAGAATGGTGGCTTCCTCAACAACAACAGAACACCAGTAGGTTGAGGGAATGCTGGGGAATTATTCTTCCTCTGGTTACCACCCTCAGGAATCAAAAAGGGGCAGGGTATCAGTCTGTGAGGAGGAAAGAAAGAAGTCAAGCTTGACCTATCTAGTAAGAATAATACATATAAGAGGTTGAGGCAGGAGGATCACAAGTTCAAAAGAGGTCTGGGAAATTTAGCAACTTAGCAAGAGACTCTAGCTCAAAAGTTTTAAGGCAGTAAAAGGGCTGGGGAGTGTAGCTCAATGTGAAGGCCTTGGGTTTAATCCCCAATGCCACACATAAAAAGAATAATGTATGGTCTATTATGGGACATACCTGAGCTCACTGCAGAAACCACTTCATCATTTATTCTTAGTAATAGCTCAATGATTTAGGCTGAACAGGTTATTATTACTTTGGGTTCTTTAGGGACTGCAGAAGGACTTGAGAGGAGCACAACTGTGGATAGTAGTGGTGGCGGGGGTGGAGGGCAGAAATTGTGACTCTAACAGGGAGGTCAGCAAGGAGCAGAAGCAGCCTTTGGAAAGGCCACTGCCTCTGGACAACTTTGTGGAATGAGGACAAGACAAGTCCCATGACTGCGAGGAGGCGTGGGGACCATGTATCCTAACCGACATGTGATGGGGCCTGGGAGCCAGGGGAAGTGATGGCGATGCTAAGTCCTGCCTTCTAGACACTTGCTTGGGGCACGTTCAGCTCAGTATCTCTCTCGATCTGCTAGCTGACGTCTGAGCTCTGAACAGAAGGAACTCTGTGGGCAAAAGCTGATCTGGTCTTAATTCTGACTGGCAAATGAGACCCAAGTAGCAGCAGAGTGACCAGAACCTCCAGAAGAAGCCGCTACTGAATTTTAGAGTTGATAGAATCCAGGGAATGAAAGCTGAGGGTGCATGGTCAGACTTGTGCCAAAGCATGTTTAAAAGCTTCGCGGGAAAGAACTGTCAGCTGTGGTTCTCAAGAGAATATCGTTCAAGAGGTTTCAGTGAGAAAAGTCCTGACAAGGAAGTTGCAAATTATCCTGAGGATTTTTTTTTAAAAGAGCCCAGTATCTAAAAATAAAAGTGGCTGTGCAGGGAGCTCCCTAATGCACATATTTTAGAAGTTCTAAAATTCTCAAATTTAAATTCTCTTTGACATACTTTTAAAGCATGTGAATTTGAATACAGTAAGGCAGACTGGTTACGACAGCGCCCTTGGAATCAGACAGCATTTAAATCTTGACTCTGCCACCTGCCAGCTGGGTAAACTTGACATCCTTTAACCTTTCTGAGTTCTGATATTTAAATCTATCCTATGGGGATAACAGTGTCTACTTTCTAAGGTAGTCGTGAGCAAAATGAAACGGTACCTGAGAAATCTGCTACAGCGGTCAGCACACGGCAAGCGCTGAGTCTGTGTTAGACGTCATTGCCAACCCGCAGAAAACGGGAGGTTCCTGAACAAGGGCTAAGTTCTGAAGATCAGTGCAGGGGGGTCAGAACTGTATGACGCAGGCTAGCGGACAGGTGATCAGCCACTTGTGATGCCCGTTAGTAAAACCATCTGCGGGGAAGGTAGATGGCATTGCCTGGCTGGCAGAAGGGCAGGATAGTAACTTCTACTGTCACTGCTGAGTCCCTGGGAACAGCATGCTTTGACAACAAGCAACCCAGATGGAGTTGAGGACAATTAAATCATTCCTCATGCCCTGCAGATATGATGGCAGAGCCTGGATTGACACAAATTACTTGGGAGAGA